TTTTCTTGAGCAGGAATATTTTTTGGACACCTGAGACCGGGGGAGCAGCCCTGGCACTGGCAGCAATGAACACGAGCCCTTTTGTGATCCCCAGACACTCAGCATAGCTGCAGTCAGCAGCAACTTGTGCCGTGGTCAGTAGTGATGGGCTGTTTAATGCATTTCCAGTATGGCTTTCTAATTTACCGAGCCCTAAATTGCAGCCTGTTGCACGTGGCTGTGGATTGAGGCTGCTTTTGGACAGCTCTGCTATGATCGTGGCTTGGGGCAGGGACAGACGGGGCATCTTGGAGGAGGCATCAGCAGCACGTGTGGCCAGCAGCTGAGAAAGCTGAAACGCAGCGGCTGCCACCGCCTAAATGGTGGCTGTGGAGGGGGTATTTGTCGCAGCCACGCACGCGCACTTGCACTTTGCTCCTCTTAGGACTGGTCTCGTTGCCATCTTGCACAGTCCTGCCTGCCTCACTTCTCCCCTTACTCCTTAACCAGCCTTCCTCCTTCCCCATCCGAGTCCCACACGGGCTTCTTGGAGCCTGTGCTGAGAAGTCCATTTCTGACCCAGTTCCAGACACTTTACCTTTTCTTTCCTGGGACCGTGGATGCTCTGATTTCCCCTGCTGTCTTTCTCCTGCCTCTGCAGGTTTTCTCAGCAAAGCCGCAGCTCCTGGGATGTTCTGGTTCCTAGGGGAAAGCCTCAGCAGTAGAGGAGAATGTGCTGAAAGGAGCAGGGATCTCACTTGGCTTTTCTTAGGAGGAGGAAAGAGAAGGCTCTGAGGCTATTATTAGATGTGGGGACTTAAAAGGTAAATAGATTTCAGCTGTGATATTGGGCAGCTACAACCAGCAGCAACCTACCCGAGCTGGAAGAGTGTGAGCAGGCTGCAGCAGGACTGGAGAACGTGCTGTCCTCCTTCCTGCTGCCCCTGCAGCTTTGCCCTCATCCTCTGCCCATGGCTCTGCTTGGAGCCAYGCGGCCACCAAGCCTGGCCACGCGTCCAGCTGGGAGAGGGAAGGAGGGGAAGGATGCAAGAGGTGTTCCTGTGATCCAAACTCAGTGGCTGTGTGTGCCACCMAGGGCACACGTTGCTTTCTTGAGAAAACTCCAATTATTGCATCTTTGCCTAAAGATGAAAAAAGAAATGAAAAAGGAGACAACTTGAGCRTCTGGGTGCCGAGGCTCAGCCTGACTTGCCGAGTGCCCCTTCCCTGTGGTGGTCCCTTTGCTCAGCTGCGCTCCAGCCTTTCTCCTGGGTGCTGGTGGCTCTGGGAGCGATGCCGCCTCTCCCGTTTCCGTGTGCCAGGGTGGTGGTTGGGATGCGCTGCTGCCGCTGGTGTAACCAGTTACGTAGCTGTGATCAGTCGCTAGCCCASACGGGCGCTTGCAGCATGGAAAGCACCCAGGGGAGCAGATAATCCTCGTCTGCCATCAGGCCGCAGCTGCTCTGCGCTCTGTTCTGACGTGCCATCGTGCAGGGGATAAAGCCAACGCCTTCCCACCTCGAAGAGCTAATTAACATATCCATTAAGTCTATAAATGAGGGGCCCTGTTAGAGGGAGATCTCCTCTCACGCGCTGCCTTGCAGTATCAGCGTGGGGTAGATGTGTGCAGGGCAGTGGGACGCGGGGCAGTGCCCGTGTGCGGCCAGAGCCTCCGGGCACCCAACAAACTGCACGCCCGSGCTTTGGGGTGCCCCTCGGCTCAGCGGGAAGGGAGAGCCCCCAAAGCCAGTGCAGGCGGATTTGCCTTTGCCCGGGCTGTGCTTTTGCTGTGGGAGCCGTGGCTGGGTTCCCAAAGGGGCAGCAAGGGCCCCCGCCTGGGGCAATTACCTGCGCCCGGCAGCGAGACGGGAGCAGCCGGGGACGCGGCCCCGAGCGCAACGTGAGCGCTCCAAGCTAGGGGCAGAGGCCTCCAAAAAACCATCTCCAGGGCAAGGCAGCCKCTTGCGGATTTAATCATTAGTACTCGCATTGCTAATTATTTTTTCCTTTAAAAATGGCCTCATGATATATGATTTGTACAGAAGATCTGTTTGTGCCTTATAAGGGTGTCTGTGCACTTTTTATCCTTTTTAAAGCAACTTTAAAAAAAAAAAAGGAGGGAGGGGAAATTACACAGATCAATGGTAGTTTTATAGCATTTTGTGTTCACTGAGAATCCTGCTTTTTTTTTTTTTTTTAAACTATATATATATATATATATATATATATATAAAAACCCATATTATATATATATATTGGAGTGAAAAAGTGTTTATTTCCTTGGATTTTTTTTCCCCCCCTCTCCTCCTAATCTGTGGGGGAAAAAAAAAGAAAGAAGGAAAAAGGAAAGTGTGTTGGGGGGGGGGGGGGTCCCCTTTTACCTTCCCCCTGCCCAAGGCAGTTACTCCATTGTTGTTACCTTTATGATTCAATCCAGTGATCTGTACATCACATCTGTACATGTTTAMGCTGAATCAGATTTGGGACTCTGTCTTAGGCTTTTCAAGCAGCTGATGGGGGGGTGTGGGGAGGGGGGAGCCGCTCTTGGACCTGTCAGTGCTCTATAGCGTCGTGGTCAGTGCTGTGTTTTATTTTTGTCCATTTACCTGTTTTACATTAATATAATTTTACTTGTTTACGAAACAAATAAAACTTTGGCTTGTAGGCGTTTCTGCTGGCGTTTCAAAGCTGTTGCCCTGCCGGGTGAGCAAAAGTGGGGGTTTCTCCCCAAGAGGGGGCTTGGTGCAGCCCCCACCGCGGCTGCCCCATCCCAGCACTGCTCCTCTCTTGGTGGCTCCCAGTGCTACTGCAGTGGGGGAGTCACCTCTGCACAGGGACAGAAGGGGGAAAAAAAAAAAAAAAAAGAAGTGTTTTTCTTAGCACCTTTTACACCAGCGCCAGTGCTGCTCCTGCCCTTGAGCCCTAGGGTACGACAGGGACCAGCAAAACGGGGCCAGGCTCATACATCCACGTTCCTAGCATTAAATAAGGCTGTAGCCTTCTCTTGCCATACAGAAATAAAGTATATATTAACCCCCCCCCACTCCACCCCATTGCCAGCACAGAGCGAGGGCTGCAGACACCTGCACTCCCGAATCCTGCTCCCACRGTGGAAGCAGAGAAGCAAAACGTGGCGCAGGAGCATCACAAGAGCCGGGTTACACTCACCTGTCAGTCGGAGGCCCACATGTCCCGTCCCAGCCCCTGCACTGGGCAGTGCAGCCGGTTCTGCCGGAGAAGCCCCGCGGCAGCAGCCCCGTCCTCCCGCTGGGCCCCGTCCGCGGGCTCCGCGGAGCCGAGCCAACAGCTCCGCGCTGCGGCCACGGTGCCGGCGCTCGCGGCAGCGCACGGGAACGGGSTGGCACTTGGTAGCATTGATAGCGCTTTTCTGGGAGGCAGGATTGCAACTGGAGCCGGGATGACCTCTCTGATCCACCTTCTCCTTAAGATGCCCTGAGACGACAACAGCCACAACTGCCWTTGCCAAGGATGAGCACGGGAGGATCAGGAATCAGATGCTGCTCTCCCAGAGCATTGCACACACCCAAGGGAAAGACGGAAACAGCCCCATTTATCTCCCCTCARACAAACCTGCCTCAAAGATAGAGAGGAACAGTTTGTGCTGGGGGCCCTCCACAGTGCAAGCACATTCCCCCAAAGCAGTCGTGCCCAGGGCTCCTCAGCATCAGCACCAGCTGAGCAGCAAACGTCATCCCTCTGCACACCATTTTGGTGGCCTCGAGTGCACCAGGTCCCCAGCAGCATCTTGCCCTTTATGTGCCAGCTTGCTCCTGCTCTGCCTGGGACTGGGGACAAGGCAGGGGCAAGCGATGGCTGCGGTGACCATCAGTGTGCGGTAAGAGCCAACACGTGGACCGGGAGGTGCAGCGAGGAGCACACAGCGGCACCAACACACACGGTAGAGCAGCACCCGCCCCACRCACGGGAGGAGGTGACCCCCGTGCAGGTCACACTGTCATCCCCYCCGCAGGGGCTGGCACCGGCTGCCCCGGCCGCGGCGTGGCCACACACACCAGGCACACACGGCTTCACCATCGTGCTTGAAACCAGTCAAGCAGCTTCTTTTTATTTATTAAAAAACAAAACAAAAMAAAACCTCCCCAGCCCTCCCACCAAATAAAAATCAACCCTCTAATGGTGACAGTATAGATATGGCATTTACACAGCTACATCTATCTTCCGCCGACACCCCCCGCCCGCCCACAGTAATGTAGACTTATACGTGCTTACATAATCTAGCGCGACACAGACAGACAACCGGGCTGCTGGCGCTTGCGAGAGGAGCGCGGGGCGGCTCCCAGCCTGCCCGGGACGCACCGGGCACCCCGGACACGCGTGGTGCCACGGGGCGCACACACGGGCTTTGCTCGCGGTGGGCAAGTGCGCTGGCACCAAAGGGAGGTTGGGTTTTGGCAAGGAGGGCAACACAGGTAAGACGCACGTGGCCCTTCCCTCCGGTGCCTTGCAGAGCTCAAGGCGCAGGGCAGACCTCAGCGAGCCCAGCCTCCCAGGCCACCCTCCTCCTCCTCATGAGGTAGTCAGGGAACATAGCCTCATTTTACGTGCAGGGTACGGCGAGGAGGTACCTGCTGCAAGCCCTCGTTGCTCAGTGTCAGAGGACCTATGTAGCTACCAAGCAAAAGGGAGAAGTGTTGGATAGCTGAGGGAAACAACGCTATTCGTAACAGTTCTCAGCATCTTCCTTACTGGGATCTGCTGTTTCAGGCCGAGGCCGGTTCCCACCTCAAAGGCAGTGAGGAGCAACCCCCCTAGAYGGAGGAGCAGCAGGACGAAGGCATCTGGTGCCTGTGATCCTGCCAAGGATGACCCCATACATACAGTACGTGGTGGGAACTGGCCCTACGTTCTTAGAAGCTCTTGAGGATCGAGGGACCAAACCTGTCACGCTCTCAGTGAGCCAAATACAGTACTTGTGTCAGCAATACTACCAGTTCTAATGTTCAGTCTGGGAGGGAAGGAGAAATAGCCCTCATTTAGAGTGGAGAAACAGAAAGAGCATGGCCCCACATGAGCAAAACTGGGACCAGTGAGGTCTACGACATGGAGAAATGAGACAGACACCTCTGAAGGCAGAAAGCTGTTCAGCAAAGAGAGAGCAGAAACAGGGTGCACAGCCTCTTCATCCTGCTGCTTGGAACGACCAACAGCAACCAGCGTGGCTAAGGAGTGACGGACATGGTGGCCAGCGATAGGACGAGGGGTAATGGCCACAAGCTGAAGCAYAAGAAGTTCYGTCTCCAGGTGAKGAGCAACTTCTTTACTGTTAGGGTGACAGAGTAGTGGGTGACAGAGTTAGGGTGACAGAGCAGTGGAACAGGCTGCCCAGGGAGGTTGTGGAGTCTCCTACTCTGGAGGTCTTCAAAACCTACCTGGATGCCACMCTGTGCCACATGCTCTAGGTGTGCCTGCTTGAGCAGGAAGGTTGGACTAGATGATCTGTAGAGGTCCCTTCCAACCTTAAATATTCTGTGAATCTGTGGCTCCTTATGGCCCTTTCCTCAGCAACAGCGAATTTCACTGCTGGCCAACCCTGCCTTCATTTCCACAGCAGAAGAGTTCTACTGGAGCAAGAGATGCGGAGACAAAAGCAGGTATGTTCTCTGAACCCACCGTGCAACAGTTCTGGGAGCGCATGGACACCTCCGGGTGCCACACAAGAAACTGCTACTGGCTCTTGTTGCAAATGTATTTTGCTTAATTGCTAGCCCAGGTGAGCCAGCCCTAACTGTGCGATCAGAGAAGACTGTAAACGGAAAGAAGAATCAGCCAGAGATATGGGCACATGAATTCCCAAAAGTCAACGTCGGGGCACCTGGATACTGGGATTCACCAGACTGGCATCTCTGATCAAAACAAGGGCTTGACCAAACTGCTCCCACCACCTTCTCAAAATGACCCAGGCCTGAGGCACTACCATTTCATTCTGTACACAGACAGAGATATCTTTAACCACACGTGTTTCCACAAAGGAAAATAAGGGCTGGAAGCAAGCATCCAGAGGAGCGGAGAAAAAATCCTGCAGCACACAGTGTCTTCAATTCTGCCAGCCTCAAATTAGAGGGAAAACTATAATTGTTTTCAGCAGCAAAACAATGTGGCTGCGGAGTTGCGTCTGCAGCACTTACGGCTGCAATTAGAACAGACGGGGCAGATGGGCTTGGTCAACAACAAACCCACACAAGTGCTGGATTTAACGCTCTTCCGGATAGAGAAATGTTGCCCTGAATCTGCAAGTAGCCAAGTACAGGCAGGAAGAAAGGAGCACGAGGGAGTGACAGCTGGGCAGACCACGCTCCTCTTCCTGCTGGGATAAGCGGCGCAAGCCTGGATAAATGTTGCAAGAATTAGGCTTGGCGGGTAGGAATTGCATGGAAATAATCCAGGCGTGGTTTGACCTGAAGCCCCCAAGCAGACTGACACACAGGAAGCAATGRAAGTATTTAGAGTACAGGAAGACAGACACATGGGGAGGCAAACAAGGCATGTCAGAGAGCTTAACAAACCAGTGCGGTTGGGAAGAGAGGCTCCACTAGAAGTTTGTATTCTTCCACGCTGTCCCCTTCCCCTCCACACAGTGAAGAAGAGTAAAATAAGCATTAGAAAAGAGAATTTAACTAGACAGACAGGGAACACCTGAGCACCAGACACACCTCACAACTGGCTGTCATGAGGAGCTGAACTCCTGCATCCTGGATTGCACTTGATAAGATCAGCACCTACTAAAGATCCCACCTGTGGCTGCTGCCTGCCAGCCCTGGGCAGCGTGGTGGGTCGTGGGTCACGTCCCCAGTTAGTCCAACAGGCAGGCTGTGTTGGGAGGAAAGCAAAGCATCGTCTTTCCAGGACTCATGGGGGTCATTCTGGTCCACTGTGCGTTGCATAGTGTTCTTCGGCTGCCRAAGCAAAACACCTCTCGTTTGGTTGTAACACTGCAAGGTACAAGTCTGCAGAGAGTCCTGGCTGGGCACAGAGAGGACCTGTGATATTTGTAAGTGTGTATATATATTTTTTCCCAAGAGGAGGATGTTTAAATTAACACTTGTCACTGTAGGGCAGAGAAGGACCTAAGGACTTTCTTATGGCATGCGCAGTGGGCAAGCAAGGCACAGACCTTAGCTAGAGAAGACCTCCTGATCTCCAACGTGCCTGCCTGAATGTGCACATGGAGCTAAAGGGACCTCACTCTGAACAGTCATTTCCCTTCTTTCCATGTTTCCTATGACTCCGTTATATACCCAARCTAAGCAACATAATGTACAACATTTGACCACGACCCTGAGTCTCAGGGAAGAGAAAATCATTTGGTGAGTCCAGATTTCCCTCACTGGCACCAGGCCAAACGATTTCTCAAGCCGGCTCCTCTATTTCCTCTGAATTCCCTGAAAGGGTGGCAAAAATGCCTCTCAAGGTATCAATGTCCTCTCTAGCAGGGAGCCCCAGGTTGGCCACCGTGTGCCATGAAGCTTGTTCAGAGCAGCACAGCGTGGCTGGGCTCTTGTACGTGGCCAAAGGAGACAACTATTTCCAGGGATACATGGAGAAGGGAGCACATGGCTGGGCCGTGGAGGCCTAGATGCATGGGCCGAGCCTGCATCTGGCACGCTACCTCAGAAGGGGACAAACTGGAATGTATGGTATCTTTTTTCTTTCTTTTCATTTTTCTTTTTTTTTTTTTTTTTTAAAGCCAGCCTTATGGCAAACTATAAATTAATAAGCTAATTAAATACTCAGGTGTGAGAACAAGGAACTTCCAACTGTGTAAACAGAGGTCAGGCTACGGCTTCTTTCTTAGATAATTGGAAGGGATCCAGCCCTCCCAGCAGGGCCCCCCAGTCAGGACCTTGCAAAACCACCAGCCACTGCTGTTCTTCTCTCGAACTTCAAATAAAGTCCCTTCTTTAAAGCTGTTGGTCTCCTCATCGCCTTCAAAATCTGCCACTGCCACATAGAGGGCTTCCTTGGAGATGTCCGGATTGGAGAAGGGGACAGAGGTCCTCTCCTTGGCTTCCCCTCTCTCTACCGGCTTGGATATTACCTTTGGGACTAAGCTGCTTTTCACTTTGGCTTCGTCCTGGCTTATCGCAGACAGGAACGGTTTGGCTTTTGGTGGAACCAGCATGGGCCGGCCCGGGACAGCAGAGGACCTGATCTCAGGTGCTTCCCGCCCTGGGGTCTTCAGCTCTGGCGTGGGGCCGGAGGCAGGACATGCTGCTTTCTTTGGGGGCGGGGGTCTACGCGGCGGTACGACGGGCCGCTGAGGCGGGGGCTCCCTGGGACCTGGGTAGTCACTCTTTGGCTCTGGGTGCRCTGCCTTTGCTGGCCCCAGAGGACATTTGGGCAGGGCCTCCTTTGCGATGTGACTGTCCAGTTTAGGCAGGGCTTTGCTCTCCACACTTGGTCTCTCCTGAAACCTTCCAGAAGTCTCCGAGRGGACCGTGGTATTACTGAAAGAGTTTTCACTGGCAGCAGTGTCCTGCTCAGAGGGTTTCTCTTGGCACTTCGCAGGTCTGAGCTTGCTTCGCAGGCTACAAATGTCCAGTTTATCGTCAGTTGGAGGTGGGTCAGCACGAGGGGCTGCAGTAGGTTTTGGCCTAATCTGGGGTCTTGATTTCAAGAAAGGATTCTGGCTAAATGTTTCAGGTTTGTCTTCCAACGGCTCAGCTTTTGGCTTGGTTGGCTTGACAATAGGTCGGAGATTTGGCTTCTTCACTTCCTTGGCTGACACCTTGTGTCCACATTCCAGTCCCATTTCGTTTTTCAGCTGGAACAGTTTGCCCTTCTCTGTTTTCAGCTCTGGCTTCTTACTGTCCTTGGGGGCTGCTGACTGCTTCGGAGGGATCATGGGCAAAATCATGCCTGGAGGCTTGGGAGGAGGTCTCTGCCTTTCCATTAACTCGCCTTCCGATTTAATGATTGATTCTTTCCTAGGGGGCAGGCTGGGTTTCTCCTCCACATCACGGTCCGAGATCTCCTCATACCCAGAGGTGAAGGCCATGTCCGCACTCTCAGCAGCCTCCTTCCCCTTCCATTCTCTGGCCCACTTCATACCACAGTCCATACCATTTGGTGGAGCCTCTGGCAAAGGTCTGCATGGTCCAGTGGCTTCTTCATTGGCACTGCTTTCCACTGTGGCATCGGAAACACGGAGCTGGGCCATCTCATTGGGCAATGGAGCCAGGAAGTTTGGCCTGGATGCATTGCTTGTTTTCTTGTATTTATCRATAAATGTAGCAGGAGCCCAGCCTTCCTTCTCCTCAATCTGAATGTACCACCAGCCACTCAGGTTCTTCTCAATAACCTGCAGTAGGAAAGGAAGCCTTAGACACACAGGCATCAGCCCTCTCTGTACAAAAGGGGATACTCAGTATCTCTGAAAGAAGATGGCTGTTAACACTAGGCCTTGGTGCTTTTGCCTCCYTCAACTTGGTGTCCAAATTCCACGTAGCCACAGAGAAAGCCAGCACAAAAGCTTTTCACAGAGCTGCTACTACCAACTTAGCCTGCAAAGTGCCCAGCTGGCACCCTGGCGCTGTTAAAGATGCCTGCTAGGAGAGGGGACCCAGGAGCTGGGACCATGTCAGGGCACGGGCAGCTCACTGAAGCAATGACACGATCACATCAGACACAAATGCCTGGGAGAGCTTCGCTGAGCTGACACAATCTGGCCCGGAGAGCCAGGACAGGCTCGGCCAGGACACAACTCTCCCAAGTACTTGTGGTGGCCACTGAGYGGCACTGTTGGAGCAGGCAAACCACAGTATTCCTGCACGGATGTGCAAACCTCCGGCCTCCCTCTGCTCCAGAAATGGGACTTGGATCAGCTCTCCACTGAGAAGAGGTGACTGGGGCAGCAATAAAGGAAAAGCTTTCTAAGAGAGAGGCAACTTCCAGGTGGAAAAGCTTAACTAGATCTACAACTCGGATTCTGACAGAAAAACTGGGTATGCTAGTTAAGCAATTCCATGAGGGCTTTTAATTTTAGAACAGCCCTAAGAAAGACAAAGCACCATCTCTACCTCCATTTGTGATGAGGTTTTAATTTCCGTTAGCTCAGTCACACTTGGGAGACAAGAGGCTGCCAGGAGCACCAGAGGCTGCAACGCCTCATGAGCTCATATGGATTTCTCTTCTGCTCTAGGTGAGCCCTGGGATGCTGGCAGCCTGCAGAGCAGTAACACGCATCACCATGTTCATTTTCCACTCAGAATCTAGTGGTGGTTTCTTTCCTGCCCAAAACAGGATCCCAGGATCAATGTGAGTCATGAGTGCTGCTCTCCAGTGAAAGATATGTGAGAAGGGAAGATGATAGTCTCACCTCTACTTTCATTCCTGCCTGGAAGCTGATGCCATCTGGAATGGTGGTCTGGAAGTCAGCTATGGTGTAATATTCCTCTTCCACTTGAGGAGGGACAGGAGGCTTAGGCAGGTTTAAACCACGTGGCTATGACAATGAAAACCAAAACTCATCAAAGTGTTTCTACAGACGGTGCAACACAAAGTACACATAGACAAACAGCCTGCGGAGAAGCAAGCTAGCAGAGGCAGGCCTGGGTGGTCAGTATTCTCACAAATACAAACTGCCAAACCATTTCCCGAATGAAAAGGGAATTGCCCAGGTTGCCAGAGATGTCACTAACAGCAAAGCTACCCTGCCCAGGAGGAGGGAGCTGGCCTGCAACCCTCCATTGGCAAGTTAGCCTTGCAGGACAAACTGACCAAGGTTCAACTAAAGATCAGCTGCCAACAGAGGAGTCCTATTATGGCAGGAAGGTCATGCTCTAACCCCAGGTACAGGTGAAGAGCCCAAGCTGAGAATAACCAGAGACCAGAGCTCTTTTTCAATGTTTCTCTACATCTCCCTCCAYTACTGCTTTCTTCCTATTTCTGCCGGCAAGTGGAATATAAGACCAAAGACATTGTTTAAGATCTGTCTAACTCAGTCTTTCATCTCCCACAGRGACTGTGGGATGCTTTGAGAAGATCAAGCATGGGGCGATCATGCACCATAGCACTGCTCTGTGGGTCTCCCTCTGGGAGGGCTCAAGATATACTTACTATGGTCAGATCTCTGCGAGGAGGCGGTCTCTGCCTCATCTTCGGAGACTCTGTGGGAGAAAAATTTCAGATGCTGTTGAGGTTCTAGTTGTGGATTCTGTGCACGTTCCCCAAAGGCACACGGAAGAGGAAAGAATCCATGCTTAAAGGCTGCCCTTCCCAGGATGGCACAGAGAAAGCCTGGGAAGCTAGCCAGACCAGGGACGTGTCTGCCTGGTACCTATAGTGACATGGGCCAGATTTTGAGAGCAGCTCTCTGGAGCAGAAGGCAATTTTGGAGCAACAGGTGCCACTGGGAAAGGAGGATGTGGTGACCAAGTGATCTTGCTTTTTCACTGCAGACCTAACCCAAAAGCCTGGCTCTACCAGTCAGGTTCAAATGCCTCAGCTCCTGAGAGGAGTGTCTGGAGTCCAATGTGCAGCCTGGGAGGTGGGCAGTGTCCAGTGCATCCAGAGAGCCCTGCAGATTCTGGGGCAGCACTGCTCACTAGCCCTGCTTGCCAACACCACGTCAGAGCTTCCTGCAAAGCTCACCGTGCCTGCAAGCATTTCGGCTCCYTCACACCCAGCGACGTTGCCCAAAAGCCCATAAGAAGGCCAGCACAGAAATCCCAGTCACCCCAAGTGGCCACTTACTGCGTCGAATGTCAGCATTAGGCAGGGGACGGCTGTCAAATCTCCCATCTCTCTGGCTGGCAAGTCCATCCTTCTCTCGGCTTGCCACGTTCTGCTGCCGGGAGATGCCATCCAGATCCAAGGCACAGGAATGAGTGGAGGCRCCTGACCCCAGCTTCTGTGAAAACATCTCTCCATTCCCCTTTTTGAGATAGGAGGCCGGGGCCCAGCCTTCTTGGCCCTGGTACCTGTGACAGTAATAACAGGAGCATTACTGTGCTGGACCCTCAGCATTTCTCCAGCCTTGCATCCCRACTCAGGGGCCACTAGGCCTTTCCAGAAGGATGTTTCCACTGTGCTCCAGCGGAGCTGGGCCTAAAGGATCTCCTTGGACCCAGCATTCAGGACAAGCATTGACCAGAAGCCAGTCACCACGTGATGTGGGTGAAATGAGCTTGCTTGGGCTCAGGCCGTTTCSGTCATGTGGGCACCTGGAGAGCTCCAGCAATGACTCATGCTCCCATGCAAGCCAGCTGCAGCCAGCGGGCCTGGGGCCGGGAAAGCCAGGAGATGATCCCTGGTTTCCTTTTCACCTCAGCAATGGCAGAGGTTCAGGAATGAACCACACTGGCAGAGTAAACAGAGGGAAAAACTAGAGGGTTGCTGCTGTGCTTTATGTACCTGCTCTTTGGASAAAACACAAGCATTCAGCTTGCAGAGCCTGTCAGCCTGGATCCCTTCCCTGCTCTGAACCTGCACTGAGTTCAGGGGAATAACCAACCCTGTGATGTGATTGAAAAACCACATCCGCGGAGTCTGCGTGCCGTGCTGGAGGGTCTCGCGCCAGCATCGGGAAAACTCTCCCCRCTGGCCAGGTTAGAGCCATTTTGCTCAGATGGCACCAGCTGCTGAGCTTGTAATTGCCTTTAGAGCTCTCATGGCAGTTCTCCTAGGTTTCGAAAGTCAATGGACATTTTTCTGGGGCCTTACTGCTGCCAAGACCTCAGGTTCAGTGTAAGGTTAAGAAAATCATGGCATGTCCTTCCACCCTGCTCAGCTCAGTCCATTTGCTAGACCGCAGACAAGAGAAAATGAGCTTCCAGTAGAAAACAAGCATCTGCGTGGGATGACCAGGCATCCTTGGCTCAACACCCGGCCGACCTGGCCCGGACGATGGCCCTTCTCCACAGAAGCTTCCTATAGCAAAGCCTGCCAGTTCAGCCAGCCTCGGGGACGTTCACTCTCTCCCAACACATGATGTAACACTGATGTTCCCACCTTGCTTCCCTCTGCACTGCCAGGACACGTGATGCTGGGACACAGTGACACYTCCCCAACACAGGAATGAGGGAGGGTTTCAAGATATTTTAACACATCTAAGTTGGGCTGAAGCCCTGAATTGGAGCTAGCTTTAGCCAGCAGCGATGCAGAGAACTCAGTTCTGGTCTCTGCCCTTCTCTCTATCCTAGACTTTGGTTTAAACTACACCTCTCTCACCCACACCGGGTCTCTGCTTTGTCCTGGGGAGAGCAAAGGGTAAGGATAGTACCTGATTTTCCACCAGCCCTCCAAGTTCTTCTGGATCACCACCACCACAGCCCCTTTGTCCAGGTTCATTTCATCCTGGTCTCTTGCGATATATGGGTAAATAACCGTGTACTTCTCCTCTGTTGGAAAGAAAGATCAGTTTCATGGATACATTCTTTTATGGAAATCTGGGCTCAGTCCAATAATGGTTCAGTGCTTTATACAGACAGTAATTCCTGTTGTGATGTGGGTGCAAACACAAAAATACAGACCATTTGAAGAGAAATGCCAGTGAGATGTATTTCAAAACAAACCCAAACACACTTTGAAATATAAGCTTTGGTGAACTAGCTTGGTCCAAAGAAAACTGTTTAAAGCAGTTCCCTCTTCTCCTTTAAGGCTGTCTCTCATACCTAAAGCCCCCAAATGCACACAGCCATTCACAACCTTGAATCCATTCCTACAGCCCTGTACTGTACAAACAAGTCAGGGCTCCTTTCAAAAGTTCTTACAGGAACAAATGCAGCAGTTGCAAGTAGCTTGTATGTATGTGTGGGGAGAAAGCTGAAACTCCAGCCCCTGCACCCAAAACAGACAGGCCTCAAAGAGTTAGAAGGAGCTGCCAGTAGAGGAAACAGATGGACACAAGTGGGTCTGATGGAAAGTGGAGGAGCACACACGGCACAAGTGATACAAGCASAGTCCATCCCATGCAAAGCAAACACACATGCAGACAACAAGGCTGCAAGCACAGAACAAGGCAGCTAAACAAGTCTCCACAGAGTCCACCTTGACCCCATCCACTGGTGTACAAGTCCCCAAGAGTCCGACGGCGGCCAACGTGCCTGGGTAGAGACCAGTATCTCCATGGGACTGGGAAGAGCGTGTTGGGAAAGCAGTAGGACAAAAGAGGACATAAGGAGGCAGCACTTCAGATCTGAGAGACCACAGGGCTGACGCCGGAGAGGGCACAGGGAGAGCGCTCTCCTGGCCCCCTTCCSATGCTGAACCCCTTCCTCCCACCTCCATCTCCCCAGGCCCAGGGCCTGAGCTGGTTACAGCTCTGCTGTGAGCATATGGCCATCAAGGGGAAGATGTGTTCTCCAGGGGTGTTTTGGATTTACTGTAAGCAAAGTTTGCAATCTGGTTATTCTCATCATAGGAGTCTAAGCATGCTCTTTGGAGGTGGTGCATGTAGCCCCTCTGTGGGGAGCAGAAAGGCCAGCAGTTAAACCAGACACCTTCCAGCTGCCCCACTCCTGGTACAACACTCAAGCAGAGTACTGGAAAGGCAAGGCCGTGGTGGGCATATTTTACTTAAAAACCTGACCTCACAGCATTTAGTGGTTTGCCCTTCCCAGAGCTCAGTCCCTATAAGATTGAACAGGACCAAACATCCTGCAAGAAGCTCACTGCATAAAGAGGCTGGAGTAATTTTCTCCAGCTGCCTCCTACCTTCATCAGGCAGCATAGAGAATTCGTCCTGGACACCATCCTGMGCTTCCAGACAGGTCGCTGGCACCCAGCCTTGCTCTTCTGATGTGCTCACAAACCACCAGCCTGAGAAGAGAACAAGAGGCATTTTAGCTGAGGGCACCCACCCTGCTCAACCAGCCCCAAACGGCCTCCCTCTCTACAACCCACGAGTCCGCTCAGCTTCGTCCCTTCCTTGTTGTTGGCACAGGAGGCTAGGGTGACCTCAAAGCAACAGAGCCAAGCGCTATCCAACAGGGAGCACACACAGYAGCGGCAGAGAATTGCAGCTGAATGAGACCTACAGGTAGGGTTCCCTCCAAACCATCTCTAAAAACACAAGGAGAACTGAAAGACTCCAGCCATCTCATTTGCTTTGCTTTTCTTTCACCGTTCATTCTCCCTCAGTAGGGGTCACCAAGCCCAGTCTAATTAGCAGAGATGAATAAACTGTCTGCAAATCGATAACCGATTCCTGCTGTGCTCCTGTCTTCTTTACCTTTGTGAAAACAGCAAATTTTTAAAAGCTGAGAGCAAATGCAAGATTCAAAGACAAATGCTCTCAGTGGAAACCTAGCCAGCTCCACAGAGGCCACGAGCAATTCTGGGCCACCCTGAGTGTCCAATCAAAATAAACACACTCTTCTCAGTTATTAAATGCACAAGCTATTTTTATTTTTAGGGAAAAAAATAAAGATGTTCCTGCAAGAATCTCTATAGAGAATCATTTAGAAAGACAACTAGACTGTCAAAGAGGGAATCTGCAGCTACTGGCATGCAAGTGAAAATCATGACTGATATGTGGTAAATAAATTATTTGCCATACCTTTTGAACTGCCTCTGCTAATAGTTTTCACTTGCTTTTACTTTCACATTCTCAGTGTAGCTGCTGGTTCAATTAATCCTCTTGGAACTGGGTTTCCACGATGTTAAAATCTATTTTTGTGATCTATTTTTAAATCTACTAAGCAATTCCTATTAATTTCAGTGAATAAATTCCCCTTTCCAATGAACTCAGAAAGCTGGACCCATGATGTGATGTGAATGCTTGGCAGCAGTTAGGACGGAGCCTAAGTTTTAAGCTCTCCAGCAGCTCAGCTGACATTCCCCCCACCATGGCCGAGCACAACGATCGCTTTCATGGAGCTGCTGCACAACCATGGCCAGGTGACAATAAAACAAGCCTGAGAGTTGTGGGAATGGCTTTTGTGCCCAGGAGCCACTGGCTGAGTTTCTGAGTAGGAAGCAGCATGAGGTGGAACTCCAGAAGCTGGACGGCGCCTGGTGCTCAGCACGCTGGATGATCACAGCCTTCCTTTAGAGACAGTCCCAAAGTCTTGTCCAATTCATACAGAAGCCTCCTTGGCCTGCCGAAGACAACCATCCAAGGACATCCCATTGAGGTGCCTGGAGGCTGYTTTGATTAAGTTTGACAGTCAGTAGGAACTGACTGTCAGTTCTTATGGTGACAGTCCAGGATTGCTATTCCTGTCCCTGCTCTGTGACACAGTATAGATTCAAAGCCCTTTGCCAAGCCAGAGCCTCTGTACCTGATTCGTTCTTCTCAATGATATCCACCACCTGGCCCACGCACAAGCTGATCTCGGAGCTCTCCTGCTTCTGGTAGTCCGCCACCACGACATACTGCTCCAGCACCAAGGGATCGACCGACGCAGAATCAGCTCCTGCACAGGGGGAACAAGAACCGACCCGCGTGCCGGGGTCACCACCAGCTCACAAGAGTGCTGGTCACTGCCTCCTAGCACCTGCTGACCTGCAAGCAGCTCCAGGACACCCTGGGGACCCAGCGTGAGACATGTGAGCCACAGACTTGGGCAGAGTGATGAGTGGAGAGACCAACCAAGCAGCCAGGTGAGATCAGTACAGCCAGGTGAGGCCTTCAACTTGCTGCCCACCTTCTGCTCACAGAGCTGTCCAAGCATTCCCACCACCACCAGAGATGCAGAGCCGCCTGGTCCCTGCTGCTGGCGGCTTGGGGCACTCTCTTACATGGGTAGACACCAGATGAGGAGCTGCCCCATCACACTGAGCAGCTTATACCTCCACTCAACACACACGGTCTGCAGCCGGCTTCTCCAGTCACAGCTGGAGAGTTTGGACACCACAGGTGGACGGGCACGTGCRGGACAATGCAGCAGCCCCTGTCATCATTGCTCTTAAATATTTCCGATATTTAAGATATCCTTCTCTATCCTGCCACCTTCTCACATCTTGCTAATATACTTCGCTGTCCCAGATGTTTGACCCCACTAACTGCTCAGCTCTTTCTGCTGCTTCTCACACAGAGATTCTCAATTTGACATCAGAAAAGTAACCAGCTGAAGGAAAAAAATCAGGGAGGGGACAAGAGGCAAACAGACAGGATGCACTGGCAGCAAACCAATCATTAAGGCATTAAGGCAAAAAAAATAATAATAAAAAAACCATTCAGGTCTGAGAGCTCCTGAACAAGGGAGATACAGCACTAGGGCTGTCCTGGTGCAGTGCTCAGCAAGGCTCGAGGTGGCACTACAGGCTAAGGCAAGGGGACCTGCCACCGCCTGGATGCAGACTCCATCCTCTGCCGGTGACAGAACAAGAGAGGGTGAAGAACTGCAGGGTGTTGCTAATTTACTTTTCCAAGCACGTTTTAATTTAGAAGAGTGCCCAGGGTACAGATCTGTCTCATTTGCTTGGCATTCCTTACAATGGTAGTTCTGGAACAGACRCTTCAGGTCAAATCCATCTCCACCTGAGTTTGTCCCCATACCCTGACCACAGCCACCCTCAGAGGTTTGCACTACGTTATGTGCAGGAAGACTGCAGCGTCACAGAGCTTTGCAGGCCCATGTGAGCAGATGCCACATGTGCTCAGGGCTGAGCAGCTCTTAATCCAAACTCTTCAGCCCCACTGAGCAGCCTTATGCTAAAAGAGCCACAAGGCATCTAGTCAGCTCAGAGCACAAGCACCACTTGCCCTATCTGCCTGCAAAAGCTTCTGGAGAGCAAAAAGATGCCAKAAACTCCTGAACATTACTCCTCATTCACTCATGGTCTTGGTTTTAACCTCTGACCCAACACTTTGTCTGACAGCTTCAAAACCTGTGAGATGGCGATGCTATTACACTTCCCAGTTCTCCCAGGAGTGGTAAGAAGTAATTAAAACTTGCCAAGTGCTTTGGAAATAGGGTAGCGTTAATTATTACAGCACAAGTGATACAACAGAATCACAGGCCTGATGATCAGGAATCAGCTCCTGGAGACAAGTGCTGCTACACTGCAAGAGGACACAATACAACGGTTGCCCCACCATATAAGTGGTCTTAACCTGACCAAAGATCCTTTCTATGGAGGAATCTATTGCAGGGAACAATCCTACCATGACCATAATGASGGGCTAGTAGAGATGGACAAGATCTAACAGGTCTTCAGCAATGCTAGGATGCTCTGCTTCCCTACAGAGATATGTTCCTATGCCCAAGGTCATTTCAAATTGGTTCTGAGAAGGAAAGGCCACAACAAAAGCTTACAAGAATGATGTATTTTTAAGGGCAGTCTTATTTAAAGAAACAAGAGGTGAACTGTCTATCTCATTCTACTATAAACAGTTCTCTGCATAGGTGCAGGTGCAGAGGTTCTATTACCAGTAATGAAAGCTTTCTCCATGCCAAAAGCTAAAGGTGGGATGCCAGACAAAATTAAAATKTAAAATTCACCCTCTAATGCCAATAGAGGATGCTAGCAATTTGGGCACTATCTGTTAGACTAGTTCAATTAAAGGTTTGTACTTTAAAATGATCAGAGCATCTACCCAGCCACTGAGAGAAGAATACCAGTAATAGGAAGAGAGAAGTACATTCCTTTCTCTAGCTATAGTTCTCCCTAGCTATAATTATGCCCATTGCTCTGAGGCTATTTGCAGTTTTAGCATGCAATTCCGGACCTTCCAAAATACCTTTTAAACCAGCAAGAGTAGTAGTAAAACGAGCTTGCAGGAAGAAGTAGGAGTTAATTTCAGGAATGACTTTACCTGGCTCAATCATCCCCAACCACAAAAACACAAGGTCGAGTTAACAATAAAACATCCTATTCGTGGACAGAACGAGTCTCTTAAAAATAGGAGTGGTGTCAACTTAACCAYCTAAGAAGAGAGCACCCGAAGTGCTGTGGCTGGGCAGGAGTGGACAGTTTGTGGCCCATAGGAGAGGGCGTGTTTTGCAGCTGTAGCCAGGAACACAAGGGTTGTRTATCCTGAGCACCATCCCACACATTTGTGACACTAACACGTGGCCTAAGGAAGGGCTGGTCATGGAGCCAGGTCACCACTGAAGGCCTTGGATGGACTTGCAGGGCTGAGCTTGTCACTGCAGCAAAGAGCAAGGGGAGGTGGAGGTRCCCCCAGCTTTGCTGCCTGCCCGAGCTCTGTCCCCAGCCTCTCACATGAAGCAGGCAGAGATGCTGGGCTGAAGCTTTGCAAACCCTCTCCTCTCTTCAGGGATTTTATCAGAGCTGGGAAAGAAGAATCAAATGGAAATATCACTCATCCATRGAGTTTTTAAAAAGTTCTCCTAGAGCAATCCTAGGATACGAGTGCTGGGCTTTGCCTTGCTTGTCTCTTTCTAGGCTGAGTACTGTTTTTTTAGGGGTCTGAGGGCACGTTATATAACAGAGCAAGAATGGATAAGGCCACTTAAGGAATCATCTAAAATAAGACCGGTAAGGGAATGTTGGAGCCCCTCCACCAGCCTGCTTGAGCAGTTCAACACAAATATAAACTATCAGATAGTTTGRGGTTCTCATGCACACGGCAGTGCTGCAGTGCACACTATGAATCTCCATGTATCAAGAAGTGCTTTCTGAACTGCAAAAGGGAGAGCAAATGGAAAAACTCAAGCCAGTCTTGAGGCCTGACATGAGGATTACTTTTAGACATACCTAAATCAGTGGCCAAGTTGGACTTCAGAGTCCCGAAGTCCCATTATCCACCCTCCCTGCAAGCTGCAGGTTGTGCAGAGCCAAGCACAGGAGGGCTTGGACCCACGCCGCAGGCTCAGAGACTTTGCAGGATTGCAAATATTGGTAGGAAATAGATTTTATTTCCAGTGCTCCCTGACTCACACGGGGCATGTCCCTGCCTTGGGCCGTCCTCACTGCAGCAAACGTCACTTGAATCCTCCTGGTCAGCAAGCAGGGCTCAGGACAGGCAACACTAACCCCCTTAGCATTTAACATCCCCATGTTTGCGCACAGCTCATTTCTAAGCTGTGCTTGCTCCTGCCAAGAGCTCAGGAACGTTTGTTCTTTCCAGGGCTGTTCTAAAGAACAGCTCACCCCCTTTTCTGGCAAGGCTGGGAGAAATCAGCAATTGGGAAACAAATCTAGCTATTATTGCTCACTAGCTAACTCCTCTCCTCGGGGAGATCATACGTTAAGAGAGCCTCTTTTGTGTCTTGCTGCATATTTCCTATCTCAGAGCAAGCCTGGCTTGAGAAGCAAGGGATAATCAGGGACTTCTTCAAGATAGAAGAGGATTCAAAGTGATGGGAGCAGAACCAAAGGTCGTTTCTGCTGCCAGGGAATGCAAGACAGTGCGAGGAGTCTCTGAACACACCTGGCACAAAGCATCAGCTATCTGTAATGCTATTGCACACAAATATCTTGCCCTGATGGCTACTACACATAAGCTAGGAGCCAAAAAAGGGAATTGTGGTGTCACAGGCAAAGCAGAGCATCCTCCCTGCCAGGGCCAGCTTGGAAGTTGCCCAAGAAACTCTCCATGTTCCCTCTCTCTTAATGATGCCAAGCAAAAAGCTTCCCAAAGGGCATTTTCTCCTTCACCTCAGCAACTTAACGGTGTCACTTATAAACCGGCTGTCCTAATAGAATTGGGCAACAAAAGGCAGAGAGAAGCTACCCATAAACCTGCTTGGCTAAGGGGACCGTGGGAGGTGGAGGACAGAGTGATGCTGCATACACAAAACACACAAAACCCCCTCTTTCTCTAACAGGGTTCATAAGTTGAAATCTTATATTGAAGAATTCAGCTATACAGCAAAAACTTTCTCCCTGCTCTGCTCAGCCCTTCAGCCCTAGAGAGCTCTCCTTTGCTCTCACCTAATGTAAGTGGACTGGGTTCAAAGAGATCTAAAGATATTCTGCTCTCATAAGGAAATCCAGTACCTTACTCACCAGATGTTGGTACTGAGCCATCACACAAGAGAAGCTTTCAGACAAAGGGGATCATAACTTTTTTTTTTTAAGCTTCAATTTTATCAAAAGACAGAAGAAAGAAAGAAAAAAAAAATCACAGCCTGCTTTTGTCCCTCCATATCCTTCTCTCTGCTTCCAAGCACATTTGCACTGAAAGCAGCAACTCAACGTGAAGCAAAACCTTTAAAAATTCTCATCTGAGAAAGCTGTTTCAAGTCCCATCATTTCAGTATGAGAAAGCTAAYACAAAACTCATTGCCCACGCCTGCAAATGGCTCCTCAGAACTACAAAGCTATCACCACAAGATCTGGTTTTGACAGACACATCTTGCAGCAGACAAACCTCGGGCAGAAAGTGCTGTCCAAGGGTCTTAGCCGTACTGCTAGTCATACTTAACCATTCCTGATAGCCAATTAGGAGATCACTCAGTTGGTATGTGTCCATGAGAGCAGAGCAAAACCAGGAGCCACTGGTATGCTTTTCATACYCATCCCAGAACCAATTTCACTTCAGAGGCTGGGACACCCTAAGTTCCTCAAGGAGATATGCTCTTCCAATCCAACAGAGAAGGAASAAAAGTAGTATTAAGCCTCCGAATCTCCTCTGTACCTTTTTTTTTCTGTACAAGATGATTCCACTCATCTACAAGTACTTTTCTTATGTAATTTACCCTTCCCAAAGGTCTCACTCTATTTTATAGTTTCTGCAAATACAGTATGTGAAAGTCACCTTTCCTAATCCATAGATTGAAGGTTCTTCTCCTCTCATGTTTTTGGGAACCTCAGATTTGGGAACCTTTAAACTTACCAGCTAAGGGATCTTGCAGGCCTTGTCTTCAGTAGAAGGGATAGTGCATCCCAGACCCTGCCCTCCACCCAATATGTGCAATCATGGTATGATCACAAAGCAGAAAGTATCRCACAACCGCGACACTTTCAGCTTCATGCTGTTTATCATACAGCTCGGACCTTCCTCCAGTCTTGAGGGTAACATGAAATTTTGCAGCCTCCAATTTCTGGCTGAAGACCAAAGACCTGCCCTTTGCCCTGGACCTGTAAAATAGCCCCCAAGCTYGGAGCTGAGCTGAACTAACAGGGAGCAAGGAGCTGGCTCACAACGCTCAGCCAAGCGGCAGTCCCAAAGCCCACCAGACCTTCTCTCAGCTCAGCACTACTTCCCCGCGTCCACCAGCAACCAAGGAAAGCTACAGGGGATGTGACAGCTTCTTGCAAGGGATTTGGCCCACCCAAAAAGCGCAGGTGTCACCCAGGTGAAAGGCAAAGCAAGAGCAAGGCCCAGGTAGCGCGCTGCCGTTACTACCTCTCTGAAGGAAAGAAGCCGTTCTCTGGATAAACCCTGATGAAGGAACAAAATGACGGGAGAGAAAGCATGAGGAGGGAAGGAGACAAAGATAGAAGAGCCAGCAATGCCAGGAACAATTAGATTAAAAAATAAACATGAGGCCCAGCACAGCTTGATGAGCTGCACACTGCCTTCCCTCCCCTCCCGGGACACCCTGCTGCTGCAGGAACCAGCAAAAAGCCCCAGCTTCTTCTCTCTTCAGCATGAAGCAGGGGAGAAGCACTAGCTAGCCAAGGCTGAGACACTGAACAGGCTGCAAGGAAACCCAGAGAGGCCGGGGCACCTGGACAGGTGCCCTTCTGCTTGTTCTTGCTCCCTCCCATGGGCTTTACTTGGAAGGAGGCAGCAATAAAAGGGAGTAAATCCCCACAAATGCAGGGTAAGCTCCACACAACACCACATCCCGATGCTTCAGGGCCTGAGGCTTTTGCTCCAATGGGGAACACAGTGGGATGCATGGCTGGGTCCTCCCCGGCCAGGCTCCCGCACCCGCTCCAGCAGCAGTGACCGAGGTCATGAGCAAAAGAGAGGAGCTGATGAATCAACAGGAGCAAAAAAAAAGAGTCCTTACCAGACTTCTTCTTTCCAATGGGTTCTCTGAAAAAGAGAAAAAAATAGATCAGCGGTGGGAAAGGGGAAGTTGGGTTCTCATGAATGGCCAAGGCAACGTGGTGCAGCAGTTCAGCTCGGCTCCCAGGAAAGCAYACCCGGCTTTGTCCCAGCTCAGCACGTGAGCTTCCTCACGCAAGTTAAATTTCCCATGGATGGCATGAGGCATCACCAGCCCTACAAAGATCCTACCTCGGTGCCTTCCATTTAACAATTTAACAAATTCATCTTTCATAGGCTGAGGCTTCATTCTTGGTCTGGCAACAGTGGCTTGGTCTGACATCCATGACTTACACTGGGCCAGTTGGAACAGACAGGTGGAGAGGGATGACCTGACACAAGATTCAGGAGTGAGAGAAGCCCTGAAATCCAGCACTGTCATCACAGATCACAGCCACCTCAGAAATGTCCACCACTTTGAACACTGATRAAGAGCTTTTCTGCTTCCTGGAGCTCCCTCAGGGACAGTGCTGGGATGGGAAACAGTGGAGGAAGGGGCAAGTCTTTATGCCCAAAACACAACAACCAAATGGAGAGTGTTGTGGGGACACCCCAGGGTTGTGCAGCAGAAAAGATGACCTTCAGGACAGAGGAAGAAGGAGACATGGGCAGTATGAGATGCTAATAAGGCAACTTCAGCACAAGCCCTTTTGGCTAAGGACGGGATGGGGAGCATGATGGCTGCTGACATGGGTTAGTCATCAGAGGTCCTGTTTTCCTTCTCTGGTGGCCTCAAACCCAGGCTACACGCACAATGCAATATGGCATTTCAAGATTAATAAAGCAAACAATAAACCCAGGAAAGAGCATGGGCCAAGACAAGCCTTAAAAAAATTTCAAGAATACTGCCAGTAAATCAAGACATTCAGCCAGCCTGAATCTGAAACAAATGCACCAGCACTGTATCAGCTTCAATCACCGCTGCCCATGTTTCTGCAAAAGTCCTCTCAACGTATTTCCAGAACTAGCCACGGCAGCCTTGAAAGGCTGCCCCAATGGGCTCCCTGTTCACTTCTGGGGGAAGTGCTGCCTTCCTTACTCCTCAAATTTACATGTGGGACAGAGCCAGACCATCTAGACAAGGTGAGATGCTCTTGTACCAGGACACACACATCAATCTTTGTCACCTGAAGCAAGAATACAGAGCACAGAGTAGGTAGTGGAGCTTCCAAGCAGGACCACATTTCACCTGGTGATACAGGGACCTTCCTCAAGCTGGGAGCTGCTGATCCCTGCTAGGAAAAGTGGCCGTGTTAGCCCAAGAGCTGCTGTGCACAAATGGAGCCCTCCTTTTCTAATGAACTCCACTTGCAAAACAATTCCCATCCACTTCCACTTGTTTTCAGGCCAAACAGTGAAATCCCTCCATGCTCAGCAAGAAAGCAAGCCAAAGCTGGGTTCCACTTTGTCCTCTTTCAAGCATAGCTGCTTCTTCGGAACATAATTGCTGCAGACATTTCATTCCCTTAGAGCAATGGGGTCATGTAGGGCTTCTGCTGCCTTCACAGACACTGATTCATCCCAGCAACATGTTCCTGGTCTGCCAGGTGCAGGCAGAGCTGATGCTGCCGCTCCAGCACTCCCTGTCCAGCCCAGGCTCGGGAAGATCAGCAGGACCATGCAAAGAGGGAGCCATGGACAGAGAAAACCCACCAAACTACTAAGTGTGGCAGGACTRCCTGGTGCTGTGGCCTGAAGCCACACTGAGGGGCTCTGTCTGCCCATTTCCTGGCCTTTGGAAAGGCCAGGTTTACCTCAACATCCCACCTGGGGCTGCAGAGACGAGCTGGAGGTAGGACAAGCTGCTCACCCTTCCACACACAGTGCCCCACTAAGAGACAACCTTCCYCGCTGTTCACACAACCTGCATGACAAACTCACTGCCTAGGCCCACTAGCATCCCCCAGAACTTCTTTGGCCCTCTCAAGAGTTAACTGCTTTTGCTAGCAGTGCATTATGCTGCCTGTCCCCCTTTCTCTTTCCTTTCATAAACCTCTAGACCTCGATTATGGAGCTGCAAATATAATTAAATGAAACGCAGTCAAGAGCAGAAGCAAATGGGAGATTGTACCTAGAAACTGAACATTTATTCATTAAGGGCAGAGACCAGGGAATTGTGCAGAGACCACCTAGTGTCATGCCCTTGGTGAAGAGAATGACAGAGGAATCCACCAGACAGGGTGTCCCAAAGATGTCTCCAAACAAAGGTAAAACTGCAGAGCTAAATTAGGCTGATTTATTTATCAATAAGCTCTTATAAACTCGGTCCTGCTCCAGCTGGCCCTCTGTCCATCCACACTGCTTCGCCCTGCATCCACCTGCAGCAGCCTGCTGCCAAGAAGCAGTAATTGCTGGTGACGCAAGTGCAAAGGGAAGAAAAGTCAGTCCAGATAATCAYGACGGAGAAAAGCAGGTGGGCAACGCAAGCCCTCTCTGATGGGAGGATTCTGATGGAAAGAACTGTAATTTTTCCCCTTGCCAGCTGCAAAATGTATTAACGTAACTCATCCCCGTTTCCTTCCACCGGCTGTGCTGTCTGGGTGAGGGGGCAAGGCACGAGCTGCAATTTCACTTTGCTGCTGGGATGTTCTTGGCAGAAATACAAAGAGCTGCAGGTCTGGACACCAGCAGCTCCAGCCCACCACCTCAGAGGGGACGAGAGCCCAGACAAGACAGGAAACAGCAATAAACTCCCGGCAGCATCTCCTCCCTCCTCCGTTCCCCATGGACCAGGGAAAGGCTCTGCCTGCAGAGCCTCCCAAAATCAGGCGCTGGAGTCAAAGGAAAAGGAAAGGCCCATCTGCTTTCTGCCGAGAAACTCATTTAGCTCTCACCTGCACAATGATCAGACTGCACTGCAGAACCAAGGCTCATTCACCATAGGGCACCGCTAGGTATGGTATTAGTTGGGTATTGTGGACACAGTTCAGTGTCTTTCAGGCATCTAGTAATTCGGGTGAAAATAACTCCCAAGTAGAGAAATTTTTGGATATTTTTATGTCATTCTTTTAGGGAAAAAATGTTGGRTTTCTCAAGTATCTTATTCTGTGCATTAGACGGTACCTCTTCAGATTCAGCAATGGAAAAGAGCGCAGAGATGGGGAGCACAAGGCTGCAGTGCCAGCACCTGAGGTGACGAGTCCAGAACAAGCAGAACAATATTCTTAACAATATGTGGGCAAACTGCAAGATGAGTATTCATCAGGCTTGGAGATGTTTAGTCTTAGCAAAGGTCTTAGTAGACCTTTGTTAAGACTCCTTAGAGTCTTAGCTACTAAGTTTGTGCAAGCAAGACAGGCATCTGGGTTACAACATATCTCTTGCTTAGAAGACCTGCTGGGCTAAGCCCAGTGCTCCACAGCACACTGAGTAGGGCCCCTGTGTGTCTTGTGTGCTTGCCCCTACATCTAACACTGAAAAGCTGTCTAAGCTGAACGCTTTCGGCTCAAGAGGCTACCCTGTTTAGATGGAAAATCAAATATCCTGTCAATGMAAGGAGCTCTCACTTGAGCTTTCCGTATCTTTGCACAGTGGTATCAGATATTTATCTCTGCGGTCGTCTAGGAAAGACAGTTCTCAGCTGAGAGCCAGGGAGACCAGTATTCTGGAGCTGAGATCTAGTCTGAGCTGCTGGTGACTCTGCACGTAGGCTCCAGCAGAACTGCAAAACAAACAGTTCATTATACAAGCTAATAATTTGTCTGAATAGCAGAGACGCAGYTCAAAAACCACAAGCCAACAAGCGTCCCTATCCAAACCAACAACTATCAATTCAGGGATCTCTAGTTTATCAGCAAATCTGCTGGAATGGTTTCCTCTACAGGGCAGCCACTCTATCCTGCTTCAGGCACCTGAGTATCTCCATTTCCAGAAAATCCCCTGCCACCAAGCTYGGGATTTTGTGCCCATATTATCTTCCAAACACAGGGAAGGACAAAGAAAACTTCCGCAATGGCTGTGACTTTGCATTACTAATTCATTGGAATAAGGTAAAGGAAGAGATTTGTTCCCTGTTGCAACAGTGGAAACCTGCATCGGTTTAGCATCCTTTCCTGCTGCTTTGGACAAAACTCAAATCCTAGTTTTACCTGCCAGTATCACAGCCCCAGGTAGAACCTTTCAGTCCCACCACGTGGCAATCAGACCACATCGGGCCTCGTTCTCATTTTGGCCCAGCTCTCCCTTCCCTGATTTATGGGGCCGGGGAGCGCCTGCAGTCCCTGTCCGGCTGCGTGCTGGAAGGAATCCATTCCCGCCCCACCATTCCCACTCCCACCTAATGGCACTTCCCCACAGCRTCGTTATTCACAGCATAATGAAGAGCTGCCAACGTTGCTGCAGGCAGGATCTCGTTAGCAGCACGTGCTTCCCTCATCTGCTCTGGACACCGTTCGTTTCCATGCACCTTCCCTCCCAAACGGTGGCAGGCAGCSCCATCCATCACGGCCCTTTGCGGCATCGGATCCTTATGGATGCTTCCCTATGGAGTAACGTGGTTGCATGTGGTCCCCCAGCCCAGCGACCCAAACAACTAGCACTGCAAAGCTGGGCTGCCCTAGAAACACTCCTAAATCCTGTCCTTAGCCAGGGACTGTTTGGGAGAAGTACCAGGAACACGAGCTGAGGATGTAGGCTCAGAGGGTGCCCACATTTACACAAAGGGAAGAAAGAAAATCATTTTTAAAAGCTCTCCCAGCCTCCAGTCGCCTGCAGTAGCCCTGCTGCCAGGGGAATTCTCCCAGAGGGGAAACTCAGCAAGCCAGGCATGTGGGGGGAAGGAGAAGATTTAACTTGCTCAAATAAACTGGAACAAGGAATAGAAGGGAGGCTGCTCCTCATGCCAGGTGTACGAAAACTGGCATGACACTCAACTTTTGCTGGGAATGGAAACAAATCTGCCCATCTTCTGTTACTTGGTGGCAAAGCAGGTGGCAAAGTCATCCTTCCAGTGGCCAAGGAGCACAGGGCACCCATCAGCCCTGCTCTCCCTTCTCAGAAGATCTGCTGAAGACAGACACTGCTGAAGGAAAAAGCTACTTTGCACAAGGAAAAGAACGATTTGCATCTTTTAAAGAGAACAGCATTTCCTGAAGCTAGGAGCTTTCAAGCTGTGAATCCACAGGCCCCTGAGAGGGAAGAAGGAGAGATGTATGAGGACACCTTTTTAAAAGTGATAGCAGATACTAAATTTGCTCTGCAGGCCTGTGGCTTCACTGCAWAAACAAACAAAAGCAAACAAACAAAAAAATAGGAATTCATAAAATAAAAGATTGAAAGCATCTTTATAATGGGATGCTCAGCTACTGAAAAGAAAACAGCCCCTTAAAGAAAGCTGTCTCTCCCACAACTAGGTGTACCTACAGTGTACAAGACAGGCAGCTTTGCAGGCTCTGGGAAGCCTCTAGACAACTAGTCCTTCTCCCTTGCTCCCTGCTTGTCCGGCCCAGAAAATTATTTAATAACCCTCCAGCTTCACTGCAGAATTAACCTGGGCTCCTGCATGCTGGAGAGTTGAAATTCAGCTGGCAAAGAGAGTTTGTGGCTGAATGCTTTGACTCAGCAATGGCTTTGTGCCCGGGAGTGCAAACCTCCCCAGCCCTCCTGCAGCAGCTAAAAGCTGCTTTGAAATTGAAAAGGGTTTGGGGCGGCGAGCGGGAGAAACAGCACACGTAGCAACTTCCCACCTCAACAGCYGAGCATCCTGCTGCTGCTCTGACCCGCTGAGATGCAGGAATTCGACCATTTCTCTCTACTGTTCTCTGCACTCTACTATTCTCACAGGGATCCCACCCAACACTGGGGAGAAACATCTCACACGTCCACAGATTTCAGGAGGATTTCCCTCTTCATAACCATTTTTCTCCTCTCTCCAGGTGCTCTGAGGAACCAGCTCTTCCCAAATTTAATCAATCCCTTGGGAATGCAATCTCACTCCTGTACAACACAGGGCAGCCCTCTGAGGTGACATGAGGTGACATTTAGTTATCTCAGCCCCAAACTYCTCAGATAGGAAACCACATCACAAAAGCCAACAGCCAGTAGAAACACCATAACCTCAGTCCACTCTCCCTTCTCAAGTGGTCCCTCCAGGAGGAAGATGCTGGAAAGCTGGACAGCATGTGGAGGAGATGGAGCAAGGCCCCAGCCGCATCCCTGGGTGGCTGGAAACTCCTGTCTCAGCTCTGCTGCTGGCTTTGATCTGCTGCCCAACTGGAGGCAGCAGGAGAAGAGGGATGCACAAAGGCTGCTTTTCACTCTCTCCCTCTCCCTTCAGTCCCTTTCAATCTCCCTTTGCGTGTGCCAGGAGGAGGGCAGGGGGTTGCAGAACAGGCCAGAGATTGAAGCAAGCTCTGAATATGCAGCTTAGAGGGCTGGAAAGCAGCTGTGACTTGTTTTTGTTGGTGCTCTCAACACTGGCGGATGGGCACCAAAGAAAACTGGGCTATGGGAGAGAACAAGGACAGGCTGGAAGCGGCGAGCGGAGCACAGGGGTGGCTGTGTGGGCTGTGCAGCCTCCTCCTTCCATTCTCCAGCGCTGCCAAATCCAAGAGCTGAATTCACCCTTTGCAGTTAAAGCCAGAGCTGCACAGAGGGCAGTTAACTGGCTCTGGTTTTGGGTCCCTGGGTGACGCCAGTTGGGTGGATTCTCCATCCACAYCACCAGGAAAAGAAAACAGGCAGGACATACAGCACAGCCCCTCAGCATGAGCTGCCCCAGGAGCTGCCAGGACCAGGACAAACTGGAGCTGTGGCTCTCATCCCAGCGAGGGACATGGACAAGGGGGAGCAGGAAGCCTGTCAGTCGAGGGAACAACTGCTTGGCTTGGCAATGGGCATGCTGCTGACCGGTCCTTTTTCCCTTCCTTCATTGCCACCCAGCATAAAAAACTGCCTTTTTTTTTTTTTTTTTTTTCCCCTCTGCTTTCTGCTCATAGCCTGGCTCCTTTTCAAATTCCCGGAGAAAAGTATTTATCAGCTTTATGAATGATGACATCCGGCCAAGCCCCAGACATGCCATCGCGTCTGACCAAGCCCGGCCGTCCATCACAGCCCTCCCATCGCTAGTGCTAAGCTGGCAGCATGACAGCACTCAGGGCTAGGAAGCGGCTGCCACCAATCTCTCCAGAGGAGAGAGTCAAGGACTTTTATTAATTAGCATTTTGAATTGTAGCTAATAAATACCCCTGAGCATTCAGGCCGGGATATGGAACACAACAGAGACGTCCTTGAGACGCTGGTGTTTTGCTGCCGGAGGCAAATGGACAGGAGTCCCCCGCTAATTCCTGCCCACCCGCCTCTGCTGCCGSGAGAGGGGCGGCAGCCGGGGGGAGCTCGACCCTCTCTGAGCTTCACTGATGTCCCCCTGCAGCACGAGCAGCACCAGCTTCGAACACAGGCGAGCRTGGCGGCTGCACCGTTCCTGGGGCTGACACGTGGGGTGCCCCAAGGGTGCCTGGGGGGCTCCACACCTAAATTTCCTCCTCGTTCTGGCTACAGCCTTCATCCTGCCTGGTTTCAGGCCAGCACCTGGCTTGGTCTACAGGATCAAAGTACCCATAAAAATGGGTGTGAGACTCAGGCGAGGGGTACCGAGGGGCTGCTAACCCTGCAGTACATCCCCACCCAACGTCCTTGCACGCTCATCCTTCTCCTGGCGTCTCTTTCCCGCTCCTGAGCTGCTGCCTTAGCTGGTGGACGTGGGCAGGGTGGCAGGTTAAGTGGCAGGCACTGGCTGGGGCAGGACAGACGAGGACGCCGGCCGACAGCTCGTGATTAGTTAATGGGCTCCGGGGCCCTCAGAGCAATTGCATCAAGTGGCTGCTATCCGTGGAAGGAATGACAACAGGCCAAGCGAGCAGAAACAGGAGCCAAAAGTGCAACATGGGGAGAGGGGTGGAGGGGAATTAAGTGGGTGAATAAAAAAAATCTAAAGCCCAGGGAAACTGTATCATCCACACAAGCAAAGCACTTAGCTGGAGGCCTTAAGGACTCGGCATTCATTCTCAGAGGAGAAAAACAAAATCCTGTTATCTACTTCCACACCCTTCCAATACAGAATGATGTCAAATCAATTTACTGCCTTTCCCTGCACAATTAATCAAGCCTCTTCCATTGCTCAGCCTTCGGTAGAGCTGCACATCGTGTCACATGCAGCATAAGAAGAGAGCAGCACAGCGGCAGACAGGGGCGCTGGGCAGATTTATGCTGCTGGTGATTAAGAAGAGATGGGTGGCTCCCGTCCAAAGCAGCTCATAGTCACAAGACTTATAACCACACAGGGTTGCGTAAGGCACGCGAGATTCCTTGCAAAGGTTCCTTGTTTTGAATGGAAAGCAAGAGTCAGGAATATGTTATGGATGGCTCCCAGAACTGGCTAAGGGAAGGAGCCCTTCAAAAGAGGCAGGGGCTGTTAGGAACTGAAAGTCAATTCCAGCTTGGCAGTTCCCATKTGAAACAAGGCTTTTCAGACTGACCATGTTTTTAGTAGCACTAAGTTTCACTGTGGTTGACTCAGGGGAGAAACCAACCTTTCATGGGGTCCTGGAGAAGCGCTTCCACTTCTGCCCCGGAGAAGGCTAAGCCTGGAGTCAACTGAGCAAGACGTGTCCAGGTGAAACTGCACAGTCCCCTTTCCCTCTCCAAGGATATCACGGAAGCATCCGCATCCCAGATCTGTGAGTTGTGAAGGGATCTGACTATGGATGCCAGACTCGCTCACAGAGGCCGGGGAGCCCAAAGCGGTTTGCGCTTCTTTGCCGCCCCGGCAGTAGTTCAGAGGAGCCACTGCACAACCAACTTACTCTTTGGGGGGAGTCAAGTCGTCAGGTCTCGTCTCAAAGAACTGAAGAACCTCCTCACACTGAGAGATGTAGGGAGGCAGCTGGATCAGAGCCTGTGGATGAAACAGAGACACCGGTGACACGAAGCACAGCTCTCAAGGAACCAAAATCACAAGGGACAAAGTCACAATGTTGAAAGACTTGGCACATCCCCGCTCCCCAGCAAACAGGGAGCACAGAGCCAGGCAGGACACAGCCACGACAAACATGCACCAGCATGGAGCAAGCCACACACAGCTGGACACCAGCTACCAACTCAGGGACTAAGCAGAGGCTGCCCAGGTGYACCTAGGGCTGCTCCAGCCTGCTGGACAGACCCCTCCTTGCAGCATAGGAGACAGGGGCTGCCCATCCTGACCACCACTTCCCCGACCACAGCAGGGCTCCACTTCCCACCACTCCCAGCCACACTGTGTGCCCAGAGCTGTTTTTCTTTCCTCTGGAAAGCGTAAGCAGTTCATACACAGCACATTCCCACTCCCATCCGTTCTGACTGCCACACCGCAGCAATTGTCTGTTGGGCAATGACGACTCCAGAGGAGGCAGAGACAGAAGGAAGGACACGCAAGAGAGTGGGGACCGGCTGGCCAGGGCAAAGGCTGGAAGGAAGCTGTGCTGATGGCAGGAGCCCTAAGTTGCCTCTGCACCTCCCCTTTCCCTTCAAGGCAGCCTTTTGCAGAAAGACAGGCCTTGAGGGTGGGACTTGCAGGGTCAGAGTGAGAGGGATTACAGAGCGGTGCCTGGGGACGCTGGGAGGCAAGGCCTCAAACACCARTATTTGCTTTGGGCCAGGGCCATTGCAGATGCCTTCCCACTCAGGCTGCAGGTGAGCAGGGCAGCCTGTGCCGGGAAGGTGCCTGGCACCAGACAGCAGTGCACAGGGTGCTGCTGATTTCGGCTCTTTGGAGAGTGTGAAAACCAYGGTAGAGGTGACTGCAAAAAGTTAAGATTTTGGAGCAGGAACCAGTGCTGCAGCTCTGCTTCCCAAGCYGAAGCAGATATTCGACCAATTTCCTAAATAATTCCCTCTCCTCTCCACTTGCTGTCACCACAGTCTTGTGACACAATTGTGGCCAAATCTCTGCTCGCTTCTGTACCAGAGACAAAGCCACACATGCAAAGCCCTGGGGTTACCACACATATCAGATGGGCCTCACGCTGACCTAATTGTGGGCCCCAGAAGCCCTTCCAGCCATTCACTGCACAGTCATGCACTGCCAACACGCAGACAGTCACACCACTAATCAGGGGCCCACAGTAATCAAGATCATGTGAGAAACAGGAGAAAAAATAGCTCCTTGCTCCCTGGCTTTTGGGGGGCACCAACAGCTATCTAGCAGCCCAGGTTTTCATGGGTGTCATTTCTATATGGACATCCATGGCCATACGTATTTTTGGCAAAGATTTTTCTGGAGGTCTGCCCAAGCTTCTTGGGGCAGAGCATCACACCAGCACGACTCTTTCATCTACAGTCAAATCAAGTCAATTTGAGACTTATCGAGACTACTTTCTGCAGTTATTCCCAGATAATGTACAAAAACCCTATGATTCTATGATTCAAGACTTCTTCAAAATGCTGTATTGGAGGAAAGCAGTTCCCTCATCCAGGGGAAAATGCAGGACACAGAGAACAAACAGGAGCMACAGGGAAAAACTTCAGACTTCCACTGCCCGCCCTGACTGCCTAGTCAGTCCTAAAGTACAATGAGTCCTTGAAAACTGAGCTCAGAATGGGTTAATCTTACCAGCTTTGAATGTTTTACTGCTTTTCTGGGCTCTTACTTTAAATTGCCCAGATTGTCAGTATGGAGGAAGCCAAAAAAGAGTCTTTCTCCAAGGCCTACAACAGCACTGCCTGATGAAAACAACAGTTCCTACCATCACTTTCCCACTTTCAGAAGAAAAAGCAAAATCTTTCCAACACAGTATTTTGCAGGAAATTGTTTACAACATTTTCATTTACCTCTCAGTTCTAAGCAGGGCCCCTGCAGTGCAGGCTAGTACAGGTTTTGCATTTCTTTTGCCTGAGGGAGGATTCCCACAGCACGTGCACTGTGCATCTCCGGCAATAAATACACCAGGGAGAGGTGGCAGGGGCTCTGCACTGAGACCTGCGGCACCACATGCCCACAAGGACAAGTTTCCCTGCTCCCTCTTTGCTTATTCCAGGTCTCCAAGGCTGTTCGGTCCCACATCCACCTTCCAGCTCTAGAGCTAAGTAGCAGAAGTGGGAAGGCCTGGCATGGGAAGGCATTTTATTACTTGGCAACGCATTAACGGGAGGAGGAGAGAGCTGCTCTTTCCGTGAGTCATATACCAGCAGCCATTATGTTCCAGTTGTTAAGTCAAATGGATTCATTATACTCACGCCATTAATGGCATCATTCTGAAGCAGACAGATAGAGCTTCTTATCGCTTGCTTTATCCACTCTAAAACTCAATTTATGGCTGTGCATGTCTGCACGTCGCTGGCACGTCTGAGTGACTCAGAAAACAGGGGGCTGACCACGCTGGTCTGGAGCCAAGCGGTACCCCGAGCTCCCTTCAAGCTCCTTGCTGCTGGGACCAGTGCTTCCAAGCACACCCTGCCCCACTTTGCCAAGCCAAGCCCGAGGCCACAGGCACTGCTGCGGTATCTGAGCACCTCGCACACCTAAGGACCGTGACTAGCACTTCACCATTTCTACGTCTTCTTCCTGGGGTGGAGCTGGGCCATCCTGCACGCCGCACGTGCAGGGCTCTGGGCTCGCAGCGCTCATCACATGGTATGAAGGGAGAATGAGCGGGAGGCCGTCTCATCACCAAAGTACAAAGACAAGGTTTTATGGTGAGGGACAGCCCATGCTCCCCATTTTCCCAGCACTGGCACGCAGCTGAGTTCTGTCAGCAGCACAGGACGTGCCCTCACCAAAGTGGTGATGTCTGACCGAAGCTAGGGATGTCCCCTTACCTTGCAGTATTCATCAATTGGTATCAACCGCTTGACCGCAACATCTCGGATGTGACTTCGGCGGAAGAGGATCTTCCCTGAAACAGGAAAATSAAAGAATGGTTAGGGTTGGAAGGCACCTCTAGAGATCATCTAGTTCAACCCCTCTGCTCAAGCAGGGACACCTGCAGTGCATGGCACAGGGTGGCATCCAGGTGGGTCTTGAAGATCTCCAAAGAAGAAGTGACAGAAGAGCTGGTGAGCAAGATGCTTCTGTTCACACATATCTCTTTTGAACCTCTTTGGCAAGWTCTGTTCCCTACAACTCTGATCTAGCCAAGAGCACCTAACCTATCAGAACCACATTCCCTCCCATGGATTAAAAACCTTACTAAAGCATATTTAAAATGGCAAGCACATTTAGGGGAAAGGATATAGAGGAGAGAATTATCAGCAAGCTATATTACCATCTTTCCTCATCAGGGAAGTTTCCCTCCATGAGATGGACATGGGTGAGTAGCTCCCATCAAAGTAAGTGCCTGGSACCTCACAGATTGCTGGATGCAAACCCGGAGACTGCAAGGAGTGGAGTCATGGATGTACAGGCCAAATGGAAGCACCAAAAGGCAAAGGGACTCTGTGGACCTTATCCTTRTTGCAGACCTCAGCTTCTGAGGTTTTCAAACCTAGTGTGGACAGAAGCCAAGCCAGAGGGCATCTCTGTGCGCTGCTCCAATGCTGAATCAGCCATTGAAGCCGCAGCCTTAGGATTGCAGCTCTGAGTCAGACCTATAGGATTTTCCTTCCTGTCTGGGGTTTATTTTTATTCCCCATTAATGGAATCCTCTTGCCACTCCATTTCCTCCCCTCTCACTTGTGGTACCGGCCTCTTGCCTTTGAAGTCTAATGAGTCCTAAATGCTTCAAGCTGCTTTCACAGAGAAGAGCCTCTCTGGCATTTAATGAGACAAAAGCTATTAACAGACAGTGAAAAACATACATATATAGATCGAGTGATCAAAAGGGCTGGTAYGTGTTAGAATTTCAGACAGGCATTTTTCCAAAGAAGAGGAACATAAACTAGCACTGCCGTGCGATACAATAACCTAAAAGATGGTGTAGGGAGAGGGAATAAAGTTCCCTCAAGTTCCTCCTGACATTTTCTATACACTCAGGAAGGTGACAGGGAAGCAGCCGTCCCTGCTTGGATTTCTAACCAGCATATATGCACTGATACCTCCGTGTCTGTCCATGTAACCCCTTCCCAAGTGAGAAGGCAATAGTGGGCAACCCAGAATCAAATTCTTCTCGTAACCAAATTTCAATATATCTTTGTGTAAAGAGTATCAGAAAAAAAAAAGCCCCCTGGAGAGCCACACAGCCCTTTGCTGAACCAGAATGAGCTTCAGCCACCATGAGGTTTTGCAGGGGTCAAAGCATTGTAGAAACCAGAGGCCCAGCGACTCCAAGATAACCTGGGAGTACGTATGGAAATATCCACATTTATCTCAATTTTCCAAAGAACAGGGAACACTCTGCTGCTTTCTAAATTGTCCAAGAACATGCATGACTTCTACAGCCTGCAAAGACTATTTTTTAAGCAGAGATGAACTAAAACAACCCACTTAAGCATGTAAGGAACAAGAATCAGAACTTTATGGAGGAGCCAAATCTGCCATCAGCCTCAGTTAATGAAGAATGCCTTGAAAACCGGACTGTTAAAGGGAGCACACAGCACTCATGGTCAGAACGAGCTCTACGCTTGCCCTCCAGTGAAATTCAAAGGGTCAAACTGCCTCATACCAGAGGGGTTGCTGCTCATTTATGTCACGCTGACGGCGAGGGGCTGGGGTGGGAAACGCTGTGCCCTGAAAGGCCCTGCAGCCCGCCAGAGCCACGGCTGGCAGCCCTCACAGCGCAGAGAAACAAAAATGCCCTTCTGTGCAAGCTGCCCTCTTGCTCGTGAGGATCAATAGCCTGGGAACAGGACTCGTCTGGAAAGACTTTGCAGGAAAGGGAGCAACCACCAGCTCAGGGCTCCTCTCCTTGCCTCTAGCAACTGTTTTCCAGCCGGCAAGCAAAGGATGGAGCGAGTTTCCCTCTCACAAGGAACTGTGCTGTACTTTCTGCACGGTTTTCTATCTGAACAAAGAGGTTTTTTTTAAAGAAAGATGAATGGATCACAATATTTCTTGTCCAATTGTAAGGAATAGCTGTATTGTTTTTAAGTGTGCCAAGATGAACTCACTGATGGGTGGGTATATTATAAATTTCTAAAATATCACGCTCCGGGTGTGGAAATRCTTAAACATTTAATGAGCAGATGCTAGTGAATAATAATAATAATAAAGGAGGATAGTTATGCAGAATAAATGCATCACAACAAATGAAATGATCTTAAATTAGCCCACGCACTGAACATACAAACCGAGAAGAAATCCAGTTCCCCTCTTGTTACTCTAGGGCTAATACTTGTCAACAAGAATGTTTGTTTTGTAACAAAAAGCTGTTTTTTCACAAAACACCTAATTAACAAAACTGCAGACCCTCCCAGTACTTCSAAATATGGCTATAAAACCTTGACTTGAAGAGCAATCAAGCAGGAAACAACTTATTTTTTTCTTGAAAGGGAAGGGTGGACAACTTGCTGGGTCGATGGGATGCAAAGGCAAAAACCTTGGGTTTTGACACCCTCCWGTAGCCACATCTGCAAAACAGGAGTAACTGCTGCCACTGGAGCTTGTCACATGGCTTAGGAATACCAATGCAGGAGAAACGCCTGCTGTCGTTCATCCTTCTTCGCTTTAGCTCCAGGGCACACCGTGAAGGCAATGGTGCCAATCACCCACATCTGTTTCTAAGCATCTTCTGCTTTCTACACTTTTTTGGCTTCTTTTGGGAGCCTGTAACAGCTCTTAGCCTGGTACTCAGTAGGCAGAACAGGAAGAAGCAGCATCAGCACCAAAAGATGCCAGGAGAAAAGGGGGAAAGTCCTGGGGTTTGGTTACTTCCAGCAAAGCCTCCCAGGCCCACAGTAACTCTGCAGCACGAGAGATGTGGAGGTGCAGCAAAGGGAGCGCACACGTAGCAGCCTTCACGTTATCTAGCGAGATAAGGGCAACGGCAACCGTGATGCGGCCATTCAGATCCTTGGCTGCAACACGCCTGCAAACTCGGCCAAAATTACTCCAGTAACAACCACCACCTCGACCTTCTGTGTAAGAACATCCTTGGATGAGGCTCGCTTTGGTTAGTGTTTAATCCTAACATGCTCATAGCCATGCTCTTAGCCTCAGCATAAACCCCAGCATGAGAAATGCAAAGAGGAAAATTAGAAGGGAGATAATTTGACAAGTTTCTCTCATTGGTGGTTTTCTTTTATGAGGTGGTAAGGACTTACTGCTGCAGAATCCACTTCACTACCTTCCCAAAGCTCAAGCACCCAGAAGGCTGAAAGGAAATGATTATATTTTCATATTTACCTATATATAAGGTCATGCATTTGTATCATATCTGTATGTATTTGAGTTTCCTGCCTGTTCGCACAAGAAAATGCAGTAAAACACACTGTTCTTCATCTACACAAAGCTTGAGAAGTAGACTGAACGTTTATCACCTGGGAATGTGCCAAGTAAGTTGATTTTGGAAAAAGAGGATGGAGGGAAGGCATCATTCAGACTCACTGCCTCAGGGCAAAGTATTCCAGACTGCAGGATATACTGCCTGCTATCTGGATCTTAAAAACTAGAAAAAAAACTACAGGAAAGAAGTGAGGAGGACAGTGGGCCTGCAGACACCCTGCATGCACATTCCACCTTGGAAGATGTCCTTTCTTCGGTTGTACATGTTATGCAATACTTTACTCTGGCAAATACATTTATGGAGTGCTGCATTACATTCATATAACGATAGCTGCACTAAAGCACTGCACCTGCGTTCATTCACATCTGCTACTGCCCCTAGGAGCAGCAGTGAGGTGTTCTGCAAGCCTCTGATCCGGATTGGGCAGCGCTGTTATTCTCCACCAGCAGCACTTCGACCGGAGAAGCCTGACCAGCCCGGCTCACCCTTTACAGTTCAAAGGCATAAAAGCAAAAAGGAGAGAGGAAATCAATGCAACTCTTTAAAGAAAAAAAAAGAAATCAAAGCAAATGAAGCGTCTCTCCACTGATCTTCAGTGCAACACTGGGAGGACATTCCTTGTGATATCTCCCCTTATATCACATTTCATATGCTTATTGATTGGTTACAGCTGCTGGGCAGAACTAAGCAARGCAGATTGGTTTATTATTGCAGGGCTGCTTTGGAGTAACTGGGATTAGTTTTATTTAGAAAACCAGTAAACCACCAGAAATATTTACCCAAAGAGGGCAACAGAGTCTAAATCAATTTTCATCACCCAAAAATAATAAAAATATCCAGCTCTTTATGTAGCGCTTTCCAAAAATTCTCCAAGTCTTTCAGACACCACTCAGGAGCATGGGGGCAAGTGGGGGATCTCGAATCCTGGAACAGCAGAGCAGCAGGAGCGACGTCTCCTGCTTCTCTCCGCTGACCCCAGTGTTTGTTTGTTCATTTTATCTCTGGGTTGACCCTGGTTTGTTCTTTAAGCTAACCAGCTGGATGAAGGCTTCTCTGGCAGGCACAGCCGTGCGGAACCCCCCGAGGTGTCTCTGATGGACCAAGCCCTCGTGGGACAACGCGGGTCCCTCAGTGACAGCAGCAGGATCAGCACAGCTGGCTCCCAAAGCGGGGAAAATCTAAGCAAAAAAATCCCAGCCTGCCACAAAGCCAACATCTGGGCACATCTGTAGGAGCTCTGGGAGGGGAGCAAGCAGCCCGGGTCTGCAGCTCAGCAGACAGACAGCAAATGTGGCAGCGACCTGGAAACCCAGCTAGGGGCCCTCAGCTAATTGATGCTCTTTCCCTCGCCCTGTCTGCCCCCTTCCTCCCTCCTCTTGGGACCCATCCGAGAGGATCTCGCCAGCTCCGACGCCTGCTTTGTTTCTGCGGCTCCATTTCCTTTCTCTAGCAGCAGTCGGCTCTGAATTGATGGGAGGGAGCCGTCATTGTGCTTTGTCCTACTGGGAGGGGAGCCT